TCAATTAAACCTAAGGCACCTAGTCACAGATGGCACACTGGTAGGCAGTTTTGGTAGGATTCTTAATCTTTAACAGAATCAGAAACAATAAATCTTTCAGTTGTGTGAACCATACTAAACTTGCTGAGTTTTCGTCACTATAAGGTGCCCCAAATCCTCAAATGTATAGCAAGAGTCATATCCATAAATGTATTGGAAAGTCCATTGTTTAAGGACAGTGAGCACTACTACTTAATAACATCATAAAGAAGAAAAACAAAACAAAACTTTTCCAAATATATTTCCAGCTGCTAAACTTGTTTTAACAGAATGCAATGGAAGCATATAATGCATCAGTCTTGCTCAAACCGAACAAAGCTATGTTCAGCAACTGCCAGGAAGGGGGGACTGGGAACCCCATGAATTTTAATTGTAATAAACTATACCAAACAAAGTTAACTAACATGGTAATGATCCCCCTGACCAAAGAATACATAGGAAATGAATACATACAGTAGGATGTCAAGGGGCTTATTGCAGCCATATAGAGTATCTGACTAAGATCATACATATGCTAAGTCATAATGTAATTTGTCTTGCTTTGGCTTGATATATCATTTGAACCCAGCAAATAATGCTTTATACAAAAATCATTAAACAAACAAGGTAATGTTTCACTTGGCAAACATCAACCTTTAAAAGTACTTAAACTTACCTGGATCTTAGCATGTTTTTCTTCAACTTATCTAAAAGTTATCCATTGAAATTATCTTTATACCAACTATAATCATGGTAATCACAGATGGGTGTGTGTGTGCGTGTGCGTGTGCATGTGTATGTATGCATGTACACATTTCAGTTGTAAAGGAAAATAAACATATATTGCAGTATTCAAGTGTATCGAGCTGACTCCTTGTGTTTGATTTCATATCAAATAGCCATCTGGTCAAAGATACCATTGAATTATGAAGCCAGAAGAGAACACAAAGTGGACTAATGTAGGCGCTAGTTATTGTAAGTAGCATATTTTGGTCTTTGAGGTCACTCTACACTAGCGGGAGACCTCTTAGCTTTGTTCCCTTCTGGGTAGGTGAGATGCTTCCAAGTAAAGTTCTGGCCGCTGTGGGCCCTCATTTTTATTGTCTTATGGGGCCCATTTGCTGCCAAAGGAATTCTTGGAAATAAAGATGATGAAACGTGTTTCCCGTTCTTAAAAACATGGAAAGAACATTTTTTTTAAAAGCTTTTAATTCAGAAAACAAACAATGAACGTTGTAATCTGCATTTACTCTATATTCTGAATTTCTAGATAAATAAGAACAAAGAACAAACAGCATGCTATTTGAATAAAAAATAGAACAAAGAGCAAATATTGTTCTTATTTATCTAGAAAGTATGGCAGGCATAATGGCACCTTGAGATACCATTTTGGGAATTCCAGTTCTAAGCTACACTATTCCAATAATAAACATTTAACTGCTATTCTATTGGCTTTGACATACAGTACTTTATTTTTTGACTGAGGCTTCAGTTTGCCAAAGCTGTGTTTACGCTATAGACCAACTCATTGAAGTCCACACATCTTGAAGTTCCTAAGGTTGAGAAACACTGCTATAGACTATACCATAGCCCTGGTTTACCAATTACAGTGGCTAAGCTAGAACAAATATACTATACCATGTATTCTTGTTTTGTATGAACCAGATTATTTTGTTAAGCTATGATGTGAGATGGGGTCATTTTGTTTTTGTTTTTGAGTTAGTGTGTTGCGTGAATGTAACTATCATCCAGATCAAAAATGGAAAAATCTAGAAACTAGACCTTGTAATAGATGAGCAGCCTTGGTTACGAAGTCATATTTTTGGATCTCCAATATGGCATCTAGTTCAGGTGATAAAAAATCAGTAAATTGGAAAAAGGAACAGGACTAACTAGGGTATTCTCATTAACTGAGTTTTATAGCTTAGCATATTGTGTAAAGTCAACAATTTTAGAAAAAAATTGTCTAAACCAGCAAACCACATGCTGGCTTAGTATGATATGTAAAACCAAACAAAATAATTTTATGATTTGCATAAAGGCTTAGCTTAATCCTGCTGTTCTGATTTATTCATGTGTCACATGGAAGAAGGTAAAGAGGTTTTTATAAAAACCTCAGTGCTATTCTTTTTGTTCTTATTTATCTAGAAATTCAGAATATAGAGCAAATGTAGATTACAACTTTCATTGTTCATTTTCTGAATTAAAAGCTTTACATACATACAGTCACTCTCACACATACACTCATTCAGATCCCAAAGTATACCTGTCCAGGTTTGATTTGGGTTCCAGAAGAATCAAAGTGGGAAACCCCCTGTGAATAGTACTTTGTTCTGTGTGATGACTCTGATGTATTACAGTTCCCATCACTTTTATAAATTCTGACAAGATTTGGGCAGTCCCAGTTATCTCTAAAATATAATTGCTCTATCCCGTATACATGAAATGATTGTTTTGAGAACCATTCCTTGTTAAATATTTAGAGGAATCTCTATTCTGATATTTTTCCATAGCCTTCTTGAAGTGAAATCTATCAGATCAAATCCTTTGCTTTCTGTGACTTTCTTTGAATGAAATGTACGTACTTTATATGTCATAAGTCTATTGATACTTTCACCCAAATACATGGAGCAAAAGGTCTATAAGTCAGACAGACGTGGAAGCAATTACAGATAAATATACAAGATCAACTACATAACAACACTGATGACAATATGGTGAAACAAGGCTGCATGCAGACGATCCAATCTTGTTTAGCACTTGCTCACACTCTTGCATGAAGAACATTAGATCTAATATTTTACTTAAAATTGAAGTTCCAAGTTGCCAGTGAAATAAAATTGGAAAGTTAAGGATAAATTGGAAAGGAAATTGCTTTGTTTTCCATTTCTGTTCACATACTTGGAGCTCCAACCACATATGCAATCTCAGTTTTTCACATCTATGGATTATCTAGCCTTTAAATAATTTATTTTAAAACTTAAACACTAGAACCTATCTTACACATTTTAGAACTTCATAGTCAAGAATGAATTTCTTCACACCTGTCCCAAAGTATATAGATTGATCTTGGCATGCTCACTTCCCTTAGCAGATAAAATTTCTGTGCTATTCTTAATTTTTTTTTTTCAGGGAGAGGCCAGACTGACAAAAAGCAGATTGGTTTGACTGTTTTACTGTTGAACATCTCGTCATACCTCATCAGATGGAAAAGACAGCGTAACAAAATAAAACAGAAATGGTGTCATGCCTTGCTTTCCAGTAATCAAGCACTTATCAAATTCCATAGAGCAAACATAAAAAAATTGTGTAACATTCTTTTCTTCTGGTCCTTAAAAAAGCCTTTTATGGACTGATAGTATTATAAACACTTTGCAAAGCATGTTGCTGCAAACAATATACCTCCTCAGAGCACTGAAGGAGCCATGTCTTCCAGAAGACATGGTGCAACTCTTTCAAGGTTTTATCCACATACAAAAAACTTCCACTGGAACAGAGACACAGAGTGATGACTGAGAAAAGCCTTTAAAGCAGTACATTTTCCAGGGAAAGTGACTCCTTTAATGTCTTCACCTTCAGAAGTGGCACTTCACTAGTGCTAAAGCATTTACAAAACAACACTTTCCAAGGCTCTCCAAGACCTAGTATTTAATACTACTAAAAACATACAACTCTGTGCATTATTGTTTTTTTGGCTAGTAATTATATATACTTCTTGCTTCCATTTGATTGTTTTATCTATATAATCTTTTTCTTCAATGACTATAGTATTCAAGAAAAAAACTAACAGAAATAGAATGCAGACAGCAAAATAACATGTAGGAGATATTTTCTAGTTATTACTTCAATTTTATTCAATATATATTTTTATATCATATGGCATAAAAATACAGAAAACAATATGGAATAACTGCAACTAAAATATCTGTTTAGGTATTCTTAAAAAATGAAACTACATTTCGATTTGTTACTATAATTTAAGTGATTTAAAAGCATTACTCAAAAAAAAATATCCAGCAGTAACCGTATTCTTGATCCCAAGAGCACATACTTATAGGTCAGTTTCCTATTTCACTCATGAAAGTGCCTTACAAACACTTTTAAACAATCTCAACATTTAGTAATCAGCATGAAAGAAAATAATTAAAGAGCAAAGGAGATTGAAAATAAAGTAGAAGCAATACATTTTGCAACAGCAACAGAACTAAAAAAATAATAATAATAAAATCTACTAAAAGTTTAAATGGACAAAGAGGTTTTAATTTGCTTCCTAAATATGAGCATTGATCCTTTCTTTACCTGTTGGATTACTGCTTTCTCTCTTTAACACATTTCACAAATCATTAGTGACCACTTCCTGGGTCCAACCTTATGATAATAATTATAAAAAGCTCACCATACCGACTTGCTTTGTACAATTTTCTTTTAAGATCTTAAGAGGAGTTAAAAAGTAAGATTAAAAAGGCTTGTTTTTTAATATATTACTGGCAAGGGGGGAAAGTATCTTTCACTAACTTCAATGAGAAATAAATCTCCTAAGAAATAAACAGGTGTTGTGGTATGCTTCCTAGATTTAGGAATTCAATATGAAGCTAAATAAGGTCAATTAAAATTATGAGCCTCTTCCATGATATCCTAAAGAAGCTACTAATGAAACTATTTATAATACATTTATTGTTCCTGCATATAGGAAAAATCACTGGATGCAATGTAAGGATGCCACTTGCTTGTTGTTATGTTAAATTAGATCATATGACATCAGATTTACATTTATCAGATGCAACAGATTAAGTGGATCATAATATAAAGAAAGAAAATATTGTACAGGTAGTTCCCAGTTTAAGAACAATTTCCGTTCCCAAGGTCTGTCCTTGAGTTGAATTTAAGCCGCACAGTATTATTGTACAATACTATATAAGTTGTATTGTGTAATGAACTTAAACCATTGTGTATTTAACTTGAATTTTTCTACAATAGGCTCTGTTCTTAACTATGGGTCATCTGTAAACCAGGTGTTCTTAACCCAGGGACTACCTGTATCATTTATTTATAAATTAACAGACCAAGTAGTACAAGCAGCAATCAAAGAAAAGGGTTTTTTTTTTTCCTGGAAGCAGAGTTACTGCAAACATGTTATAGGATTTCCAGGAGCTCTATTTTCATTAGAATTGGGTACAATTCAATGCTCGGAGATCCAAACCCTGCCCCTTCCATCCCCAAAAATCCTAACAGAGAAATGGACCCATGGTAAAGCACTTGAGCTTCACATGGCATCTTCCTAAAGGAATCTAGATGGAGTTCCTTATGCATGCTAAAATCTGGGGGAAAAAACACGATAAAGCTGATTTTCTGCTTAAAATTTTAAAGAGAGAAAGCCTTGCTTTATGGATTATTATTGTGAGAGCAGAATGGTTCTCATATTTAAGAGTACTTACTCTGAAGAACTTTCAGAATAATTCTATACCCCCCTCCCCCCAAAAAGTAAAAATATTACTTAGAACATTTTCAAATACACTTTTCTTCCAATAATTTTAAAAGTTCTTTTAAAACAACAAAATAAATGTCCAATGTATATACCATAAATAAGCTACTCATAAGTAGGTTTAAGCAGTTATAAATATGCATAATAAACATATATGGAATGTTTAAAACAGAATCTAAACTTAAAAATGGATTCAACATTATAAGCAACACAAAAAAAGAGTTCAGAATTACACCATTACCCTAGAAAAAGGTTGCTATCAATAATCATTCAAGCATAGGCTTCCATAGCAAGCCACAATGACATCAAAATGACACATGTGCACTGCAGTGCAAATGATGCAGTTAAGTACTTGTGTCATGCTGTTTAACTCATACAACCATTTTACTATAAACAATCTTGATCTAAGATTCATGAATTGACCTATTAATTAATACTCAGCCCACTTGATATATTACTATAACCAAAGTGGAGAATACAGAAACATGCTGGCTAGGGAATTCTGGGAGTTGAAGTCCATTCCCAGAATGGGAGTTTTAAAGTTGTTAAGGTTGAGAAACACTGGTGTATGCATAAGTTGACATTTTGATGTCATTGTGGCTTGCTATGGAAGCCTATGCTTGAATGATGATTGATCATAGAGTCACTACTGTACATAAGGCACATCTTGGTGGCTTCGCACTGCTTTGGCACAGAAGTTATACCTATAATCCTGCATTTTAATTTTCAGAATTTTTGGAAAACAGACAGCACAGCGTCATAAACAAATTAACAGTTTAGTTTGCCCCAAAAATGTAGCACTTGCAGGGAAGTAGCAAAAGGATTAAAAAGGATTCATTTCTCCTGCAGAAGTTGCTCTATTACTATGCTGGATCCAATCCACATTATTTACAATGCACTTACACTAATTTACTTTCTCTTTCTAAATACCACTGTGAATAGTACTAACCAGTACCTTAAAACTAAATTCTAATTATAGTTGTAAGTGTTGATGAATACAGATACTGGATTTTTTTTGCTCATCTGGACTAGCTTGTGCATCCATAGATTTGATTACTTTAAACTTTTTGAAAAGAAACATTTAATTAAATTATGTAATATGTACTGTAATTTAGCTGTTTTTCTTATTATGGAACATCTGTGAACACACAGTAACAGAAAGTGGGAGGTAAATTTCACCCGCTGAGGAGATTAGAGTAGGATATCAGAAGATGACCTATAAAAGGAAGAGTGTCTATATAACTGCATGGTCATAGGCAATATATCCAGGTATAGCTGAATTTCAACCATGTTTCCCTAAACAAATTGTAATGGAATTAGATTTCCTATTGTGTCCAATGCAGATACCATGTTAAATGTTATTTCATGCTTTAAAATTGTTCAAAATTACAGTATATCCAAAGTTCCTTTTAAAGTACACAATCTAATACAATTGTTTTTCATAAAAATGAATAAGTGCAAGCCTGATTTGGTGGAGAAACTAAAGACAACCTCTACTACACTGGACAATACATGGAATAGGAAAAAAAAAGTCTGAGTTCTAAGAAAAGTATCAAATTCAGTCCCAAAACATTTAAGCTTACACTTCATTAAATAAGTGGTAGAAATAAGCTATATATTTGATACATGTTCAAAAAGACTAAAATACCATTTTTATAGCTTATTCCAAGTTAGGATTGTGGTTTTTTAACTAAATTTTTATTTCTGTAAAAAACAAGCTATTGTACTGATACTGAAAGATTTAGTTGCCTGAGCCATACATTTAACAATGATTTTTTAAAGCCTAGTTTTCTGTAAAATTGTACATTTGCACAGCAAATAAAAAACTAATATAACAATTCTTAAATAATACATCACATTAAAATATCATTCAAATTTTTTTCACAATGATTTGCTATTTGTCATCTTCTTTCGCTGTTGTTACTCGTTCCATCAAAGCCCTCCATACATTTCCTGGTATTTCCTGGTGTTTGTCTATTAAATACTGTACTGCATTCTTTGCCTATGAGGGGAGTGAGGTGGTGAGAAATGTTAATTATTCATTATTATAGCATCATTCAGTGGTAAATTCAGTTAAAATCAAAACCAACAATGAATCCTTTTCAAACTATAATATTAACCAGACATTCAATATTTTAATCCTGAAATTACAGAACCCCCCCAGATACAAAATATATAGAATTCTGTGTGTGGAAATTAGTTTCATCCTACAACTTATACTTTAAGCACTACAAAATCAAATAATAAACATAATGGGGAGATTCCAGCCACGCAGGAGGATCCTGGGGTGCTCTGATTTAGGGTTTAGTAAAAGGGAATCTCTGCCCTCTGCTGAATGGCAAGGCATTCTGAAAGCACAAGCTTTCCACTGAGCAATGTGAAACCCTTTAGCACCAAACTATTCTTAGCACATTAATTCTGTACTGAACCATATATGCCTGATAAAAATCCCAAGTTATTTAACTATGAAAAGTAACCAGTTAATTTCAGGAGACTTTCTATCATTTCATTCTCTCTCCACACCTGAACTGAAAAAAGTGTTCACGATCAAAGACGAACACTGATCTGGCAAAAAGAATAAAATCAAACACTAGACAGAGTGAGACTTGTAACTTCTGGTCCATTTGAAACTTTCTTGAGACTCTAAGATTAGTCTGACTGATAGACCTTAGGGACAGAGTCTTTTTGTAGTTCCAATATCACCGAATTTCCTCCCTAAGGATGCACAGCTCTCCTTCTCACCTGCATTTTTTAAAAAAAGAGTTTGAAAAACCATCTCTTTTTAATGGCTTTTGACTGCTGGGTTTTACTATCATGCTGTTGATAGCTGATGTTTTATTCTTTGGGCTCCAGAAAGGTTCTTTATACTATGTAAATTACATCTTAATGTACTTTTGCTTTTATATGGCTCAACTGTGAAATTCATTATATTTTTATTTCTGTACTTTTTAATGAATTCATGAATTTATACACTACCTTTCAAAACAAAAGGATTCCAAACAGTTCAGAATCAATTCCTAAAAAATATTTAAAATCAGTATCTAAATATTTAAACTAAAAACAGCTGCAAATTAAATTGTTTAGAAAACAATTAAAAAGAACTGGAGAATACTGCTGCAATATAAATAGTGAATAAAACTTTAAAATTCCTTGTAGCTTGGGAACTTTGCCTAGAAAATAAATCAATAGATATTGACAGATCTTCCCTAACCTTTCATTCATTTTAATTTCCAACCAACTCTGTGTTTTTGGTACTATTTATCCCAACCAAGATTTATATGTTTTGATCCCCAGTCTGAGTCACAAAAATGTTATCTGAACATCCATAGATATAGTATACACAAAAATATCTTGGCAATTCATCCAAGAGTCTTTATTTTAACCCTGTGACTTATGATCAAGCTATTAATACTCCAGAAGTAAAATCTTACTTTTTCTGCCAGTTCTTCCGCAGTTACATTTGGATCATATGGAATAGGATCTCCAAGATATGTCTTCAGTTTGACTGGAAAGTTCCCATACAGAGGAAGTAGTGGCAAACGAAAACGCTCATATATCAACCTTAATAATTCTGAGTAATTGAAAAAGGACAGATTAAGAGGATAGCAGGTAGAATTATGTCTTTTTACCCACTTACTTACTTTAAAAATCACAGAAGTAGTGATTCACTCACAAATCTATACAACAGCGCTTCGTAACACAAATCTGAACAGCAATTTAGTACCTGCTTCCAGAGTCATCTTGAGTTCTGCATTAGGAAGTTAAAACTGAATGGCAGCTTGCTAAACCAGGCTAAAAAACTAGGATCTAGTGAAATGACTGAAGACCAGAACAGAGGCAACTGCAACAAGAAGCAGTGTTTGCCACTAGTTGCTGAACTGGTTTGAATGTTCTGGAATAAGTTTGGAGTCTGGAAGCAGTCTTCATGGAAGAGGTCATCTCTAGTTTAACCTAAAAGGACTGAGGCAAGATACTGAAGAAATAAGGAAGAAAAAGACATAAATGTAGCTAAAGAAATGGAACAACGTACAGAAAAGACGATGTGCCAGAATTCCTATAGAAGTCATTATCAGAAAATGTGGTGATGTCCACTAACCTGAATGACTGGAAAAGTAATTGAAATGAGAAGGAGATTGATAAATTAATGAAAAGCAGGCCTGTCAAGGGCTATTAGTCTTGAAGACTCAATATTACCTCTGTGTTGGGAATATCATGTTTTCGAATACCAGTTGCAAGGGACCCATGGTGGGAGACTAATATGTTTCCACTTCCTAATTGTAAGTATTGTAAAGGCATCTGGCTGGCTATTGTGAGAAACCAAACACTTAACTAAATGGCCTTGACTTGATCCAGCAGAACTGTTCTTGTGAGCCAAATCTGACAACAACAACAATTTCGATTAATATCCCATCTTTATAAGGCAGTGTACATAATGCTCCTGCCTCTTTTTTTCCCCACAACAATTCTGTGAGGTGGGTTGGGCTAAGAAAAAGTGACTGGGCCACAATCACCCAGCTGACTTTTATGCCTAAGGGAAGACTACAACTCATGGTATCCTAGTTTCTAGTCCAGCACCTTAACCACTATATCAAACTGGCTCTGTAACCAAGTTTTTAGTGTTTTCAGCTTTTTTTTCCCCAAACAGTAATCTCCCAATGAAAAAATATCAAACCTCAAGAAAACAGGTTAAAAAGTCTGTACTGTTATGCAGAACAGCAAACAGATTCTAATGCCCAACTATATGTACTGCAATGGTTAAGGGGATGAACTCAGTTTGGGGAACTTAAATTTAGGCCTGGCCTTCATGCAGATCATTGGACAACTTTGGACTGAGACTGATTCATTTATTCCACAGGACTGTTGTTCTGGGATTAAAAACAGGGGAAATCCATGTATGTTGCTTTGAGCTGTCAGAGAAGGGGAAAATATAAATGAAATAACAACAATGGCTTCTTCTTGTAGAACAGGCTAAGCCATCCATCCATCCATCTGAGCATGATAATGAAAACATAAGCATTTTTATTTATATCGTGTCCACCACTATAAGCATAAAAGATCGCCAAAACCAGCTCTAATCAGGAGGAACAAAATGTAATCACAAATGACTTAATCTGAAAAAGCCCAAACTAAAGTTGCTTACTTATTTGTCCTCCAACTACTCGAATGCTTTCCCGAACATTCCGTGTGAACATAGGAATGATGGGCTGGAAGAATAGAGTGATGGAGATATATATTAACAATTTATTTCCCATAATTAATTGATTATATTTAAATTAATTAAAACCAGAAAATTAATTTAATTAATTATTTAATTAATTAATTAATTTAAATTAATTAAATTAAATTAATTAAAATTAAAAAATTAATTAAAACCAGAAGACCAATTAATTGAAAAGTGAAGAGAAACAAGTATAGCAAACTATTTCCTAGTCACATTTCTATCTAGCAGTTGATCCAAGAAACTAAAACCTTTTCTTTCTTTACAAGCACTCAGTGAATGAGCTTTGTAACTGACTGGGAATTTGAGTCTTAGTCATCCATTCTGAATCCCCAAATCTTTTGCTACAAAATGATGTAAGTCTCCTATTATTTCAACTTCAATTTTCAATCTGTAGGGATTCTAGGTCTGCACTGTGAGAATATTTGAGGGAGAATGTTAAGTATATTAACTTTTTGCACTACTCTATACAGCTGCAGGAAAATTTTATGTATGAAGTTCTCCACATTTCAGAAAAGCAACCTTGTCCTGCAAGCAATGAACAAAATGGAGAAAGAGTTACGTAGGATCTTCTCATTAATTTTCATCTTTCATCATGGAAATTATGGAGAAATCTGGGACACTGGTAACATTAGGTAATCATTTGGATTGCATTAAGCACTGGAAGAGGTGTTTTGCGGTCTGTGGGCACAAGCAAAGCGTTCATGCCTCAAAACATTAATTTAGCTGCTGCCTCAGACAAGGATTTCCTAGGTTGTCTATAAGTGTATGAGAGGCAATACTTTTAGTGGAACTACTCTCAAAGTAAAGCAGTTGTGCATGTACATCTGTGAAGGTTCCTGAAAAATCCACACTGAGGCTTCTGGGGGCTGCATCTGCCTCAGTGCTTCAAAAAACTCTGTTTTGCTGATGCCAAATGGCTTTACAAGGTACCCATGTGAAGACTTTGCACAGTCCTAAACAGTCCTGCGTTTGTGCCCTGTGGAAGTATCATACCGACTAATTCAGTGTGCCTCAACCTTGGCAACCTTAAGATGTGTGGACTTCAACTCCCAGAATCCCCCAGCCAGCAGGGGGATTCTGGGAGTTGAAGTCCACACATCTTAAAGTTGCCCAGGTTGAGACACACTGGACTAGAGGAAACATAAGGGAAGCCCCACGTAGAGTGTATTACAGTAATGTAAATGTGGGAGTACCAGTATTTGAATTGCTCCACAAGTGTTAACCATTAATTAGCATGAACATGGCATTAAGTAAAAATTACCATAGTACACAATGGCATAGCATTTATATAAATATTTTGGGAAATTTGCATTTGAGAAATCTGAAGAAGTAGATTCTCATCTTGCCCTTTTTAATGCATAAACAGTCATGGAAATGTTTATTTAACTGCTTTTATTTGGCAAGAAGAGTCAAGCAGAGGAACAGACTAGAAACGGGAAGGCCTGAAAACTGCCCCTCTCCCACCCATTCTCCAATGCCAAAACCATTTTTTTCCTAATTTTTTTTTTCTGAAAAGTTGGAGAAATTTGAAAAAAAGTCATGAACTATTTTTAATAATTTCTTTTTTAAATAATACATTAAATGATTAAAATGCAAATTAAATTGGTTTAGGTAAGGAAGCATACCAAATCAAGAAAGGAACTAACATCCGCAAGAAACATGTTTCATTACAGGGAAATATTCAGTTTCTGGAAATTTGTGAAAATTATTTTTAAAAAGGATCAGAGTAACTAGAACCTGATACCTCAGATTCAAGCAAAGAGATTCTGTAGATTCAGATATAGTCTGAAACTTGTGTTTCTCTCTCCTCCCTCCCTTCAACAGTTCTGATATAGTAAAACATAAAGTAAAAAACACATTACTTTTTTTAAAACTACACTGTTTCCAACATTAAGATTTCGCTTGCATACTTCTTAAACTAACAAAAATAAAGAGAAGCTACATTTCTTAGAGTTCAGCACTTTGTAGATCCATTGGGAACAAAATTTAAAACAATTTAAAATAAATTGAATCAATAAATATACAATTGTCTAAATAAAGTGTATATTTCAATTGTACATACAAAACATACTTTCAGGAGTAAACAAATTTATCCATAATACTTTTCAGAAAGTTAACAAAGTAACTTTATAAAAAGTGTTAAAAATAAGTATTGCATATATGTCAATGTTTTAATTCATTTATTGATTTATATAGATTTATATTACTCCTTTCATACAGGAGCTAAAGGAGGCATTTTTTGCTGCAACAACCACCTTGTGAAGTAGACTGAGATAAAAGAGTGTTGACTGGCCCCAAGTATCTGTGACTGAGGGTAGACCAGAACATGAGTTTCCTTCATATCAATCCAACACCCTAATCACTATACCACACTTACTCTAAGTGGTTGAACCACTTATCTCCATTACATTGTTTTCTATTGCTTAAAGTTTACCAGAAATGTTTTATTTCCAGAAATGTTATATTTCTAAGCATGGCACACATAAACACCTGTAATCTTATATCCCAGTTATGCCTACAGAATATTTACCACTTTCATATCAATGGCCACTTGAGCAAATCCTTTACGATTTCTCCATAAAATGGTATAATTTTCATCACTGAATAGCGCTTCCCGTACTCCCCCTGGTGAAATTATCAATAGTCCTCCATTCTCTAATACTTTTCTACATTCTTCTTGAGATCCACGCAGAGCATAGAACACATCAAGTAATAACTTCATACCTGGAATTCATAAGAAACTGTTGTAGGACTAATATTGGTATAAAATTATGATCTCTCCAGTTATTATACTCTATCAGAGAAATATGGAATAAACAGTGAATAACAAAGCAGGTGTAAATTATGAGAAAGCCACAAAGGACTAGATTTTCCTAGGTTTGTAGCAAATTATCAATTCAACACTTATACTCTCCATTACCAGTCTGGATCTAATGAAATACTTTCAAATCAACAATCAGTGATAAGAGTTATCAACTCATAATTTTTTGATGAAAATTTATCCTGGAAAGAAATCTAACAATCAACATCCAATAATCAAATATCTTTATATAGATTATGCAATATATATTTTATGCTGAAAAGCTTACATGATATTGGTCATTTAAAAAGCCCTTTTCCCTCAACTATCACTACTCTAGAAACAATTTAACTAGAAAGTAGCTACAGAAGGCTTCATGATAAGAAATTTGAGATAGGAAGCCAGTACAATGGTGTAAGTTACATAGGAGTCCACTTTTCTTTTTAACAGAGTACAGCGTTTTTGGATTTAGATTAGCGTAAGGCTTCAGGATAAGAAATTAAGTCTAACAAGTAAGAATACTTGACTAGTTAGTAACTGAATGGATTGTTATTTAAAATAAGAAAATAATTTAGTTCACTGGTGTCTTTCAATATATATCTTATTGAAATAACTAGTAAATACATAAGAAGTAAAGCTTATCCATACATTATTTGTAATGTACAAGTAATTTCTCTTAATTGTTCAAGAGAATTACCTGGCGTTGAAAACACAAAATGATCAGCAACTATATGGAGAATTCTTTTCTTCTTGATAAGAATAGTGGCCACCAAGTAGAAAAAGTCTATGGGAGTTGCTCCATGATAAAATACAATCAGTGCTGGTCCATCTGGTATTTTTTCCAGGCCATGCAATTCATAACCTGTTATGGACAGAAACATTCAAGATTAGCATTTGATAGAGTCACCTTGTGTGAGATGGCTATATAAATATGATAAATAAAAATAAATATTAAGTTTGCATAACAAAAAATTCTTCAGATATTAAAATTATGAAACTGCTGAGTATAGGTACCAATTATAAATACATTACAATCCATGGCAATTATTAATTATTTAACTATTATATTGTAACCCCACTTCAGTTGAATATCTTTGTATTAATGTTCACAGGTTTGTCTATTACTCATGTCAATCAGATATGCCGCCTTCTTTCTTCTTTTTGGCCAATTATTCATCTTCAAAAGGTATTTGGGACAGCTGATGAAAAATAATTGCTTCTGGATTACATGATTTGTTTAGGACACAGAAATACCAAAATCACAAATCAACATACTGTATATGAATCGAATTCCTTAGCTTCTTTTATAGCAGATAATTCAGTTTCATCAGTTATTTTGCTCAGCTATTTTTAGATAAATGCAGTTTATGTTCTTAAAGCCAGAAACATTCCTATTCTGCATAGGAAGTACTATAACTTGGCAAAAATAGCTTCTGCCCTTTAACAGTGCCAGACTTCTCTCTTAGCAAACAGGACCAAAAACAGTTAATCTAAAGGGGGGTGAATCTCTTACAGCTACAATTACTGTTATTGCTGTTATTATTATTATTATTATTATTATTATTATTATACTTACAACTGCAAAATTCACTTGCTTCAATGAAAATAGAAAGTGCCCTAGGCATTATCGAATTAAAATAGGACCTGCTCTGTGACCTCCTACTCTTGTTCTTACCCTTTAATCCCCTTAAAACCCCAAAACAGGTGAAAAAAAATACCATGCCTTTTTCTGTAAAATCATAGGTCAAGTTACAGCCTCTAACCTTTCAAGCATTGCCCACCTCAGCTAAACACCCTGTGGCCTGCTTTTTGCCTAACAACCCAGATATTATTTAACCATGGTTTATTGGAGAAGGCATTGTGATCTGGTTCACATATAATGAAGCTGAGTCATTTACTCAGGACACTTAACAGAAAAAAGAACAGCTCAACAAAAAACAAGCAAATATCATTCAGGTTTAGTGTTATGTGTGAATCAGACCATCTCCTTTTCCTCGCATATACACATGTTCTTGCAGTTTGACAATTTACCTCTGAATGAACAATTTAGTAAAAGGTTATCAGCTTTTTGAAACAGATGGCTCATAAGGACTTATGGGAATGTATCATTTCAAAAGTAAACAGAACTAGAATTTCACTGTCATGCTGCCACTCCCTAATCTTACCCCTGAAAAAAAGGGTTAGGATTAGGGAGTTGCATTTTTTTTTTTTTTGGCCTCAAGATAAAGAACAGAAAAATAATAGAAGCAAAGTATGAACTACCAGACTGGCAAACACACAGACAGACTCAACTATAGGTTAAACTGGGACCTGTTAATATCTTAGATGAAACCAAATCCAAAAACCTTAGGCAATTCTTGGAAGCCTGGCATTCAGACTATAAACACACAGACAAACCACTTAAAAGACACAGTCAAAAGCCTAGGAAAGAAACAGCCTAGAATACATCCCCTTCAGCAGCCAACATCAGAAAGCAGGAAACAGCACCAGATAATCAGGGAGGAAAGAATAACATAATAAAGGCACCATCAAAGAGGAAGCCATACCTCCATCAAGACTGGCAAGGCAAACTACTATTAATACACATACACACACATACACACACACATACACAGCCAGCAAGCCCCACTCTCGCTCGCACTGATGATGTTACCTAGCTGGATAATCAAATGTCCGCAAGAAGACAGCCAAGCTCAGAGAGCACCAAGAACCCAACAAAGGTAGGAAAAATAAATATAAAAACTGTAGGAAGAATAGTTTGATAAGCATGCCTGGGAAGATGTTTGCTGTAAGTCTGATTGAAAACACAGAAAAAGTGGCAGTGAGCAACATTTGGGAAGTGCTGGTTTTTAATGCCAGTAGAGGTTAGGGTCAGGCACAAGCATGAAAGCAGAAAGAGAAGGTTTCAGAGGCAATAGACATTCTCTCCTCCAGATTTGATGGGGAAAGAGAGTAGCCCAGAAAAGAGAAAGTTCTTAGAAAGGTAGTTAAAGCTAGAGAAGAGCCCCTGGATCCTGGACATCTCCCACAGAAAGTAGATATAGGGGAAATAGAGAGAAGATGCCTCCTTAAAAACATGTTGGCAGGAAATGACAGCAGATACAAAGAAGTGGTGTTAGAATTCCATTTAGGAAAGTATCAATAACGTCTTGTACAGGTTAAGGACAAATCTAGTTACTCAGGAAAGACTAGAGCAGTCTGTAGCCCCTGGCTGATACTGAGAAACAATTCTACAATACGGACCGGCAAATCCCTTTTCAGAACATGTAGGTAGAGAAAGGACATGTTCAGATAGATTCTACTGTCCAGGTATCAGAAGAGAGGACAGCAGACACTGTTGGAAATTTAGGAATGTCAGTTGGTCTGGAGAAAATGAATGCAAGGTAAAGCTCCAATGGTACAAGTGCCTATTTATGCTGAAACCATAAATTCCCATGGAATTCTAGGAGTCGAAGTCCACACGTCTTACAGTTGCTAAGTTTGAGAAACACTGGATGCTTCTAATGTAGGATTAGGATCAGCCTCTGGTGGTCTCCTACCCAAGAAGCTAACACTTCAAGAGCAATAATGTAGTACAATAAAAAAGGAAGCTTATGCGCTAAAATAGTCCATTGAAATCCTGCAGGTATATTTATGAGGGAGTAATAACATATCACTAACTCCTCACCTGGCTACACCAGATGAGTAACAGGCATCCACCAAATAGGCATCTTGCCAGATAGTACAAAGTATTGGAACCTTATAGATTTTCAATAACCGATAAAGCAAACAAGCAGAACACAGTGGCAGATATCTTGTCCTCTTATGACAAAGACTGAAGTTCAACTACATTAATGGAGGACAGTTAGAGGGAAGCAGTCAAAAGGAAATTTCAACCTTCCAAAAAGGGGGAAAGTATGTAAGGGAAAGAAGACCACAGGTGAAAAAGTCTTCTGCACTTGGAAGAGATAGCAGTGAAGATACTTGACTGAGATAGCTGCTGCTAGGCAGCAACAGCCCCCCCCCCCTACTCTCCAGAGGCTAGACTCAGCCTTTTTCTTAGCCCACCAAAAATGCCTATTTGGTGATTCTGACTCTACAAGGAAACCTGGGGGTGGGGGGAGGACTCAATCCTCCCCTCCCTATCCTGCTGAGGGAGGCAGACCGACTGGCAGACTCATCCCACATGCCATGCCAGCTATTTGATGGGCATAACAGCATCCACAGCTGGCTAGTTTAGCCACAGACTGGCTTTTTCAAGGACACACTGACATCTACAGGCATATATCTATACATATATGTATGATCCCAAGGTTTAGGGGGTAGCTTTAACCTGGACCTTTCTCACCAATCAGAATCATTTTTCTCTGCTGTTAATAACTGTTAACTAATTAATAACTAATCGCTGTTTTAACTATCAATCAAAGACAGAAAACTTGGAAAGGGTAAGAAATTAAAGTTCTTCCCACTCCTCTACAGATCCCAATTCACGAAAGACAGGAGCTTTCTCACTGCTACCCCAGCCCATGGCAATCCTGATTTAGGCTGCCTCACATTTCTTCCCCAGTAGAATGACTCTCTGCACATAGCCTTCTTCACATAAGATTTGTGTTCTTGAGAACCCATTAAGCAGTATTTTAGTATGGTGTGAAGGAAAAAAGATGCACAAATCCCAAAGATAATTATCAACAAAATGTAATAAACTGTAATAAAACTAATTATTGGCAAAATGGCAAATCAGCACCACCAGAGGAACTTGGAAGGGAGCTGTAGATACCTGTCACAGACCACTGGATGGATTTTTCAGGACTGCAAATAGTCCATTAATGACATAGCTCCACTCTAAAAAGTCAGGCGCTCTTACTGTCAGAAGGGCTGACAGTATTATGCCTATTAAATATTGGTAGTAACCTCTACTATTTTACTGTCTTGATTTTGTTTTATTAATCTTTTACAGTGATTTCTTTAACTTCTATTTACTCTAGTGCATTTTTCATGAATTTAATTTTCATTATTTTCATTATATGGAACATTGTTAATTGAATAACAAATAACATACATGTGCTGAAAATAAAATAAGTAAAAAACATGGAAGGGGTTTTCTAGAAAATAAACTAACTTGTTTAAGAATATAACTCCTATTAATCCCAGCCAGTCACACTGATGAGAACCGTAGTGCCAATTATCTGAAGGGTAGTATGGTTGAGAAAGAGTAACTATATATTGTATGCATAGTATTCATCCTCCAAACACAAAGATACAGAACAATATTCTATATTGTGGAATACCTCTTATATTTCTGTGATTTTTTTTTACAATGTTTACTTACGGATTATCAGCTTAGGAAAGGAGAACATTACAAAGTGAAATAAAATGAACCTCTGACATGATATTAAAAGCAAAACTTTCAAAAAGTCCAGGGGAAAATTATGGAAATAAGCATCATTAAATTATCCATTGATTTTATGAATCAGTCCTTAAGCCTGAGGATAATTTAGTTCACAACTGTCGTGCATAAGAAGAATGAGGATACTTACCATTCCATATTCTTGCATGGACATACCATATAGTTGCCAACATTTGTCTTGCACCATCCCAGAAATCATTCAGATAAGCTTCTTTTAGGTCTGTCTTTCTTTTGTAAATATGAAGAATGAAAATAGAAATATAAAGGAGGAGGAGAATGACTACTGGAAGTAGAAAACCTATGAGTAGTGGCATAAATAGCCATGTGAGATAGATCAGGTAACTCAGATATTCTTCCAAACGTTCCACTCCAGTCCATTCTTCTAATACATAAAGCAGGCATGTTAAATAGGATACAGATATCTGCTCTGCACCACAGGATTCATTTTGGCTTATCATGTTCTGTTTAAAAAGGAAATAAAACATAAATAAAGCATTTTTAAAAGCCGAAACTATCATATTTGTGTCTGAACTGTTAATTTCAATTATTAATTTGAATCATCAGTCATTTTTCACTAGAGAGAAAAACACAACAGTGCAAATCTATGCACGTCTCCTAAAATATAATAAAGCTTATTCCCAGGCAAATAAATATAGAATTGCAGTCTTATATAGCAAATAACTGAAACATGAATTGCGCCATTGCCAAGCGATTCACTGTACCATCTTATTTGGAAAAAAACTAATCTGAAATCTTGACATACTTGCTTAGCTTGAATTTCTTGACTCTAATTTCATGTGTTACTGAATAGCAATGCAAGGCTTTGCAATATATTTTATGCAAAGCTTTCTCATGATTCCTAATGGTGTGGTCTAGTATCACTCTTCACTTCTACTGCATCAAAATAAAGTCAATTCATTAGATTTCTCCCTTGAGCAACAGAACCTATAACAGCCAAGAATATTATACAAAAAGTCAATTCCATATCCCAACAAACACAACATACCCTTATTTTTACATATGAATCTCTACACACGAGTTCAATTCATGCAAGGCCAAGCTGTTAAACAGTCAAGAGGAGACGGAATTGGTGGTATGTTCTTGAGATGCCCTCCTACTGCCTCTTGCAATTTTCTCAACCAGTAAGAGTTCCAAAAGGTTGCTTTTTTACAGCAAAACCAAAGAGTCCTGTGGCACCTTAAAAATGTCCAAATTATTACATGAATTTTTGTGGACTACAGTCTATCAGAGGCAGAGGCCGAACACAAGCTGATTATGATCTGCAGAAGTGTATAAATAATAATTTGTTCATGGTTGGAAGGTTTTGGACAGGCTGGACTGCAACCTGTCAGGAACGTTTTGGGGAATTCCTGTACTGAGCAGGAAGTTATAAGATCCCTTCTGATTAATGCATTCAACAATTCTAGGTCCAGGCAGTTGCCAGGAGTCAAGACTGATTCGAAGGCGCGCACACACTATTTGTGATTACTTTCCTCCATCTGGTATTACTAGCCGGTCATGCTTACTGGGAAGAATTTATGCTGCAATGCATCAGGAGGAAGGAAGGATTGGAGGAAGATGGCTGTCAGTTATGCTTAATCTCAAGGAAGAAAGATGATCAGATGCAGCTTCTCCTCCCTCTGGTTGGTACTGCTTCTTCTCCAGATTCACCTGCCCTGAAAAGGAGATGATTAACATTTTAATACTAAAGCTGTGGTGAGCTGAGGAGGAGGAGGTGTGACAATACCAGGGGAAGGGGATTCTGTTGCTTTTCCTTTGACCCTCCAACATAAGCCCGGCAGGGCTTTGAATATTATCGCTTCCTCAGCCGCAGGATTACTCTCCCAGCGGCAGAGGAAGAACATCGCCAGGACACTTGCCGTTACAATTAATTCCCCTGATAGCCTTCAGGAAGCAGAGCCGTCGCCTCCCAGGGACGCTGGCAGGATTTTCCTCCGACCAGCTGGGAGCCTCGGAGAAGAGCTTCGGGATGGGCGGAGGGAAGGGTCCCGCGCTCTGCGGGAATCGAGACAAAACGCGTCGGCCAGAGAGGGTGCAGCGACGAAAAGGCCCCGATCCCAGGACTCACGGCCACTGTCCGAAACTCACTAACTGGGTTCAGCGCTGCCCCTCCGTCTCACTTGTCCTGTTTCCAAGACAGGAAGCGCTTCCTTGGCCGCAAGACTCGAGCTTTTCTTCTCCTCTTCCTCCCCACGCCCAGAGAGGCGGTATCGGAAGTGCGCGCTTCGGGAGGCTCCCGCAGCACCAGCTGATGCCCCTTTGCAGCTGGGAAGGGAGCGCTTTCCAGCCGCCTACGCCGCCGCGTCTCCCGGGCAGGACCCGCACGCACGCGCCTCGGAGGGCTTCCCTTCTCCGGTTGCGTGCGGCAGCACCCCGATGGATCGTTGTGTAGAGACACCCACTACCTTTCTACAAAGAGGGAGGCGGATTGAAACCGCCTGGGACTACGACCTAATTAATGAACGAATAACACCGCTATCCCGCCTCTCCGCCAGCCCCAAACAGCATTTGATTTTCCCTATTCCTGTTGTATCCTAAAAAGGTTTTGGGGCCGCCCCGTTGGTCCACAGATGGAAAGGAAAAGAACCGGCCAATCCGGGTACCCGAACTGTGGTTTAATGTAGTAACTAGATTGCCTGATCTATAATCACACCAAGTGTCCACAGGACACTGAACAAGAAAGCAGACGGCCTATTTTAGCCAACAGAGTTGTGCGACCGCAGCCAGTAGGTTACTCTATTTCCATATTCAATCGTCTTGTCACTCTAATTTCTGTCTCTATAAAACTCAAGATCCGCGGGCGCTGCTGAAAGGTAGGCAAAGACTGGCGCATGCTCGTTTTCTCCTGTGAAGCTTCCTGTTTTTAATTTGCTTGACGTTTTTTTGCGCCGGGGCGGGAAGCGAGACGCGTAGAACGCAAATAACAACAAACGTGGGCTTTGTTACTTGCGTTTTAGATTTTATATAATTACTGTATTTCTCAGTCTACGACAGTTCGAAGGGGAGCCATGTTAGCCTTTTGCAGCAAACACACAAAAAGTCTTGTGGTCTTTATGTTATTATAGTGGGGGAAGGGCGGAGGGGGGGCGGTTGTATTTTACCTGCATTTTATATTTCATGATGTCTGCACTGTATTTCAGATTAAAATGTTTTCTGTTGCTTATATGCTGTTTCTGGACAAGGATACAAAGACCTTTACTTGAATTAGCAAAACTGTTCTAATTCAGAATAGAGGCAGACGAGCCTAAAACCTTTGGGCTCATCTACTTCTCAGGTTGTCCTCGCAGGAAAGTGCCCAGTAACTTTGATGACAACACCATCCTCCACCCCTTTTCTGGTTCCGCTTCAAAGCTGTGTTACTGAGCACAGGTGGCAGTGCCTAATAGAAGTCTATAGCAAAACATTCCCAGGGAAGGGAAGGGCTGGAAACTGCCCTGCTCATAGTGGTCACCTGAGATACTGCAGGCACCTCCCCATCACCCCAATTTCTCTAGGTGACAGGAAGGGGTGGCAGGAAGGGGAAAGGGAAGAGATGCTGGTATATCCCGTGCCAAAAGACCTTCTTGCCCCTGCTTTATCATGAATTTTCTGCACATATCCAGACATCAACTGGTAAACCTCTGACATGTCCAGAAGGCCCCCTGCTACTTTGGTGCACGTGTGCTGAACCTGCGAGGAGGGTTAGGCCAACGCCTGCTCAGAGTTTTGGCCTACAGCCCTGAGGCAAACAAGGAGAGTGATATCATGGGCAAAATGGATCTGCAGCCTGCACTCCTGCAAAGGAAGCAAGGAATTCTAGGTAAAGTGGTCCTACAACCTGTATTTCTGGGGGAAAGGGTGAGACCCATTTCCCCTCTTCCTGATTTCCTGCCTTCCATTACAAGAATTTCTCTCCCTATGGGTAGAAGAAGAATGAAAAGTAATGTCTCCACCATCATTTAAAGTTTAAATAGGGATATTTCTGTAAATTTAACAGGAAAGTAATCTTTGAAACGAGCTCTTTTGTATTAAGCTTTCCACATAATGGCCACCATTCACTACACACTTCTACCAATGATGGACATGCTTCTTAAAGCTGTCACGAAAAAGTTCACACTTTGCCACTTCAACCAAGTCCTGACAGTCTTTCCACCTCTTAATTTGACTCAAATGCCCACAAAGGTGTTCCTTCAATTTTGGGAAAAGGTGGAAGTTTCATGGTGTCAAGTCCGGACTGTGTGGCAGATGTGGTAGGATGGTGGTGAAATCAACGTGATTGCCTCTTGGGTGACTCAAGGTGTGAAGTCTAGTGTTGACATGTTCCTTCTTGTGCTATTAAAACTCTTAATTACTATTTTAAAGTTCTCTGTGTTGCAATGTTTTGCTCTGAGTTGATAGTAGTGCCAGGTTCAAGGAAATCATGTAACACCATCTGCATCCCAAAAAACCTCTGATTACAAGTTTTTCCACCAAAGCCTGGGTTCAGGCTTTCCAGGCTTTCCTCCTAGATGAAGCTTTGTGATGATATTCCATAGATCATTGCTTTGGTTCTGGGTTGTAATGATAACCCCATGTTTTGTTGGCTGTCATGATGCTGTAAAGAAATTTTTCACCTTCATTTTCACAGTATTACAAGTGCCAGCAAGTTTCAATTTTTGAAGCTTTCACCTCTGCCATCAGCATGCTAGGAACCCATCTTGCTCAAACCTTCCAATACTAAAGAACCTCAGTACTGAGACCCAGACATTCTGTGAAATGCTAAACTTAACAGCAGTTTCTCTTTGAGTGATCTGTCAATTGTTCTTAGTCAATTCAACAACTTTTCTCATGTGAAATTCATTGGTTGCTGTCACAGATTATCTATTTCATTCCTGACCACACAAATCAGCTCTGATTCTTCATCTTTAAATTTTTGGGCCCAGTGACACACAGTATTTACATTAACACAATCACCTCCATAAACAGCCTGCATTCAGCAGTGAATTTCAACTGAAAGGACTTCTTTAGCAGTCCAAGATTCAATCACGTCAGGTTCCTTAAGCACACGAATTAGTACTCATAGCAGGCTTCCATTTCATGAGCAATAGCAGCACAACCTTTTCTCACAGCAACTTCCCGCCAACTGTGAAAGAACAGGTGCTAAACAACAACTCAGAGCTTCTAATGCATCAATACTACCATCTGCTGGCGACATAACATTGAGGTGTTACTTTTTATTCAACCTTCATATACATGGTATACCACATGTCAGGCTCCATAGGCCAATCACAATACGTTTTTTCAGAGAAAATATTATTTTACATAGGAATGTTCAGAGGTCATGCATCAAACAAGTAAAGGAAGCATTTAGAAGAAAATGGCAACCAACTCAAACATTTAATGTAATTTATATGATAAATTGTGTATGGGGCCTGACTTCTGGTACACCCTGTAAATAAACTATTTAAAAATTGTTGAAATTTGTCTATAAATCTGTTGCTTATCTTTGAACCTCAAGATGGAGAGGAGCATTTACATATCTCTTTCTCTGGTGTTTAGAGATTTATATCTTCTCAACATTGAACTATACCCTTTGTTTTACTGTTTCAAGTATTTGGGACTCTGTCCCATCCACAGCTTTGACAATGTGATAAAATGAGATCAATCTCTTTAGGGAAAGGGAATAATCATTGTTTAGTGTTAGAACATACAGAAAGTTTCAGTCTCAATATTAAATTAAAACAAAAGTTAGTAGGTAATGGAAAAGACTGATCACTAGAAAAATGCTGACAGTCATAGCAGTTTAGCCTACCTTAACCCAATGTACCTCACATCTTCAGAATTTCCAGTAAGCATGGCCAGGATTTCAGTTGAGTATGTCTCAAATTCTTCAAAAGCTTGTAGTATCCCGAAAAGGAGTGGGTGGTAAGGTGTTAAACATGCCTCCAGAATACCCTAAGGTCCTAAAGAACTGGAAACTGGTTTGATAGATTTAATTAAACTTTTCATATGCTGCAGGGAAATAAACAAGGTAACAATATTTTGGATACTTAAGACTCCTAGCTGTACAAAAACTGCTGCTATTTTGCAGGAACAAATTGGTTATTAGAAGGAATGACATGAAGTACAAATACAGCAAGAGAAACAGTAAACAGAGTTAATGACAAAAGGCCACATATTTTAGAATTGATTTCATGTATATTTTTCTTTTTAAATTGTTAGCTACCTGGAGAGGTCCCTTGAGTAGATAGGGTATAAACTGAATAAAGATATGAGGTGATAGCCTAACAATTCTGAAGGCCGTGACCAAGTATCACTTAATGATCAGTCTTCCTACATTGTTATGTAACTGTACCAATTTTATTTTCATTTGAGGCTATCTTAGCCAAATTACCTTCTCTACTAAAGTGATAGCAAGCACTGTTAAAAAGGGTTCACCGTGCATGAACTGCAGGACATCTGTAGGCCAGGTAGTCATTGCTTTTCTCTGGAAGGGAAAAAATTATAGGGACACAATGCATACTCCAAAACAGTTCCATTTAGAAAAAAGCCACCAGAAGCTTATGTCTTACGATATCTGAGTTTATTCACAAATATATAGGTCAAAAACATGTCTACAACATCTCTTACAAAGCCCAGCTTCAGTTTTCACTGAAACTAGCTTTAGATCATCTCTTTTCACACAATCATCTTTCATGCATCTTAGCTGAGACTAAATGTCTGCTAAGCTCAATATGAAGACTATTAGCACAGTCTTCTACATCAGCCCTGTACAACTTGTAGATGGAAAAGGGCCACATTGATAAATTAAAAATAGTAGCTGTCTGCAAAGGAATAGCTGGCATGCCAATCAACTGTTCGGTGGCTAGTAGCAGCAACAGCAACAGAGCTGGCGCCATTGGTGAGGCTGGGAGGTGTTGGAGGCACTCAGCAGCGTGTCTTTGTGGCGGTGATGGCAGATCCTTCCTGGTGGTGGTGAATTTATTGATTAAAAAAACAAAACATCAGGGGTCACACATGGCTGGTAGGCCACACACAGGCCATATCTTGTACAAGCCTGCTCTACATGCTTATCTAGACAGTCCATCAGTCTGAATAGGGTTTACTTAGATACAAACAAGATTTTCTAAAATTTCCTTACACTCAAAATACATCATCACAAAAATTTCCTTTGTTAAAAATTCTTGGTGAGATATTGCTTCAAGATATCTCACAAAGATTGCCTGATTCACAAAAACCCAATAGTGAAATTCTTTACCATGAAATAGATATTGACAATCCACTCCAACACATATTGCAGTGAGGCACAGCACAAATGGCATCTTATTCAATATACATTTTAATTTAAAAAAATATATATTTATTTCTTCAATTTATGTAGCTGCCCATCTTACAATAGCAACTCTGGGTGGCTTACAATGTTTAAAAACAATACAATAATGCAATGTAAAATATAAACAACAGCCAAGGAGTCAAACCAGTCTAAACAAATAATACAGGTAGGTCTTGATTAGTGTGGTTAATGAATCCCACAAAATGGAAGTATTATTCAAATTCACACTATTCAAAGTGATATTTCTAAGGAAAAGATGGTAATTAGTTCCATGTGGACAGAAATAGGCAATGAAAAATTTTAAACATAATGTTTATATGCATATAAATGAAATATTACAGTAAAGGATAAAAAGAACATGCTTATAATTATATAAGTCATAGAGTAATTATAGAAAGCAAAACAAAACAAAAAAATTCTACCATAGATTCAGGCATTCCACCATCTCATCCTAATTTAAGCATTACTATGATCACATTCATGTTGTTCAGTTACATGAAATCTTTGATCTAATGTATAAGGAGCCTCTTCTTTTTTAAATTTGTAGTGTTTTCCTCTGACCGAATCTTCCTTTTCTCCATTTTTCATACATGAAGATAAGCAGCGTCTAAAACCCCAACTGTAACTGCGCACGTGCTCGCCTCACATTAACAAATGTTGGGTCTCATTAAATGCAACCTCCTATCAAATTACAATTTGCACTAAATCGAATATCGCATTATTGGAACTCATGCTAATCATGACCTACCTGTAACCACATCATGGTCTCTAACTAACACTCCAACCTGGGAATACATCCACTTCTTAACAGCCTTGTGATAAGCCACTTAAGTTCTTTTTGCATGCAGATCAAAAATTGCATAATACTTTATTCCTTCCTTGTCAGAAAAAGTATAATACTAAATTAAAAATTAATTTTGATATTATTTATGATTCTCAGTCATAATTAATAATGTGTTACCTCACTCTGCCTAATCATAGCATCTGTCCAATTTACTCCTTTTTCTTTTCTTTGTGAAATCTTTCCATTAAAGCATGACAAATGCTTCCAGGAATTTGCTGGTGTTTCTTAATTAATGATTGGAGTGCAATTTTGGTCTGAAAATGAAATTAAAGAAAAAGGAAGAAATAATAAAACATTTCATGATCACATTTCTACTGGCAATGAAGAGTTCACGAGAAGAATAAATGATATGTTTATGAAGACTACATCCTGGTAGTCTCAAATCCAAGTACTATCTAAACCCAGCCCTTTGTTCTGAGTCCCCACAAGGCTGGCCAGACCCTTTGCACAAAGGGAGAGTATTATATAAAAGTATTGCTACCATTTAACCTTTTTATTCTCATAGGAAAATATAGAGGTTAGGAATATATTGAAAAATGATGTAGGGGTCCATTCTCCCTCCCATTCCCAGGCCTTTTCATCACTACATAAGGTCTATCAGGTTACTCCTCTTCTTTACAAAACCACCACAGGCACAGATTAAGATATGATAGCTCCAAATACTTAAAGCAGTTAAGACACTGTAAAGAAAACAGTTGAAACAGGCTCAAAAATGTCTTGTATTCAATTACAGAGTTTTTCAACCACACTGAATAACCCTTTTAAAAGCTAAAACCGTATAATATAATCTGCAGTAGCTTTAATTATTTTGTTTGTTTCAAAAGATCATGGATGACTAGGCTACCTTAAGGCTGTAAACTAAATTTGATTTTAGAAATTATTAAATAACTAGATACTTGTAGAATTATATGGATTATACCTGATTTAATATATTTCAAGGCCTTCTAAAATTGTAATATGGGCTGCAGAAACAGATAGACTGGCTTCAGTGTGACATGTTTTATGCTTCTTTTTAAAACATTCTCTATAGTTCACCAACATGATATAGATTAAACAATTTTGTATCATGATTTCTTAATATGGATTTGCTTACTGAAATATGCTTACTTCAGTGATTTTGAATAATCACTTCTTTGAAAACAGTTAAGTGCCTTGCTTGGTGAGACTTCCTAACTGTCATTACGAGAAACCTAGATGCCTAGATGGCCTCTCAGAATTGAGCAGACATCCACCTTGGAAGCATGATCCTTTACCTACAATTGCCAGAGTTTTTTCTGGTCGATTTTCTTCAAAACAATTATTTATGACTCTTACGGACACACATTAAATAGGAGTATTTAACACAAAGTCTTTTATTATTATACCTTATCTCCCTCACTGAATGCTATAAGGGATTAATATACACTGGGTTTCACCTCCACTGCTTCTTCTTGGATAAAGAAGCATTTTGCTACTACAGAAAACCTAATAAGGATGTAACAACAGAATAACTACAATTGTGTTCATGTACTTCAGTAAGGCATCACTAATTTGGGGACTTCTGGGGGAGGTATGGAGAACTGAATTTCACGGAGCCGACAACTGCAGCAAAGACCAAGGAAGTGGTGAGTAGACCAGTTCCTTAGAACCTGTCCGGATAAGGAGAGGACAGGAGATCGCCCATATGTGCTTGGGATGTGCCTCTTGCAAGGAGACCACAGGACAGCGGCTTTCTGCAGGTCTGAGTGCTGAGAGATGACAGGATCAGCCATCTTGCTCGCAAGTTAGAGCCTTTAAAGGACACTAAGTTTGCAAACCTCACTTTCTAATCACTTTCAGAAATTGCCTATTAACCATTTTAAAGCTGTTAGAGACCTTCAGAACAACAAGTTTGTAAAGTCTCCATCAGGTGAGTTTATCTTTAACTTTGAACAAAAGAAAAAATTAATTACAAGCTTAGGAACTTAAAGAATTTGAAATAAACAGCAAAAAGGTAAATAAGATTTTGATCTAAGACAGTTATAAATGGATTAAGGATCCAGATAAATTTGGAGTATTTACTTTTACTGTAAGATTTTAGAATTAACTATAAAAAGTAAACAGCTTCTCATGGGAAACACTTGTTTTAGCTATCCTGGATCCTTTGTTATTGTAAGCCTTAACAAAAATAAGCAATGATTTTAGAAATGAAACACAAGAGGGGACTAAAGATTCTAAGCAGAAGAAAAAAAAATACAACCTGTTCTTGATGTTAGTTAATACTAGGATTACAAAATGACACAAAACATTATAACATTGGAAATATTAAAGGAGATCTTTGAAGAATGGAGCCAAAAATTAGTAACTAATATCAACACTGTCAGTAATGATGTCTGCATCTATGTACAGACTATGTCTAAAAGATGTTAATGAAGGAATGACAGATGTGGAACAAATTTTATCTGA